GCCTATCCCTTAATAACAACTTGCTGAACCAAGGAAAGAACCTCCGACGACTACTCGAAGACAGTCCACTGAAGGAGAAAAAAGTGGTTGTGTGGCACGACGTGGTGAACAACACCATTAGCAGCCACAGAACAAACAACTATCGCCCAGCTGGTGTCGAGGAGCTGACAAACTATTTGAAGACGAAGAAGCAGCAGATATTGGCGATCGTTTATTGCAGAAGGGAAGGAACGCCCGACTTGTTTAGTCAGCTTCTCGGCACAGGGGTGCTCATTATTCCAGCTACAAAACGACTACTCTCCAAGAGCAAGCAAAACAATCCGGAGCAGCTCAAGGAATATTTGAAGCTGCACCAGAGTGCTGATTTGGAGCTGAAATCTCTGCGATTGGTAGTGGCACACAAAGAAAGGCTGTCAGAGCTGATTGGCAATATCAGGGGCAAACAACAGAGACCATCACAGACAAGGAGGAAGGCGAAAGCAAGACGTGAGCAGAAGCTGAGGGCAGAGGAAGTGTCTGCGCTTCAAAGACAGGGGTGAGAAGAGTGTGATTTGTTTTGCTTTGTGCCTTGTGAGTTTCATTACTTGTGGCCTGCAAAACAATGACCACAGTACTTTTGCCTGCTGTTTGGCTCAGACAAATTTTGAAAAGGAAACTAACTTGGAAAATTGTGTTAGACTATTTAAAATTCTTTAAAAAAGTTAAAGTATCTGTACATAGACTGAAGTTTCTGAGAAAATGTCTGAAAAACGATCTAATACCGGACTTTTTGAAGTTTAGGGTCCCCGAGAACGGGTTTTTTTCGGACCAAGCTGTGCATAATTTTCAATTGAAACTACTAAGGACTGAAACTTCTAGGGCAAATGAGGATAGGAAAAGGTACGAGGAGATGCTAAGGAAAGCAAGATCACTGGTGCAAAAAGAAATTGACAAACAGTGGTGGGCATCCATTTTCCGATTCGTGAGGCGGCAAGTTGAGGCAAGCTTAAAGACAACATCAGAAAACCATAGAAAAAAGTTAGAAAAACTGTCCGAGAGACAAGATAAACCTCTTGGGGGGAGAAATGAGCGATCAGTTAAGGTACTTGATAATATTGAACTGCCTGAATGGGTATATGAAGTGCTATCAATGGGCCCCAAGCATCCAATTAGAGACAAATTTAACGAAACACATTTTTTGGCGGATATCGACATTTTCCGCTCACAATTGAAAAATCAAAAAACATCTGGTGAAACGTTATGTGAAATAGAAGCCGCGGCAAAGGCATATGCAAAAAACGTACGGCAAACCCCAAGAGAGACAAAGCCGTTGAAAAAACGAGGAAATATCTCAAAGATAATGGGTTGCTGGCTGTGCCTTTTGATAAGGGGGTTGGTTTTTGCATAATGAGGAAACAAACATATGAATCAAAGCTGGAATCCTTGTTGCAATCTGCTCAGTTTGTGAAAAAAGATGCAACCACTGATGAGGTGATACTGAAAATTGAGAAAGAATTTAACAAAGAGTTACTAGCCATGAACAAAAGAGACGAGATAAGTGATCAGTTATATTCTAAGATACGATCAACAGGGGGGCAACCCGCCCGTTTGTACGGTTTAGCTAAGGTACACAAGGATGAGACACCCCTACGACCTGTACTATCACTTCCCGGCAGCTCGTATGAGAATCTTAACAAAATGCTTGCGAAGTTTTTTGACAACATCAATGGAGCAAATATAGAAACCAATACTAAAGAGGCTAGAGAAAAAATAGAAAACATTGCTCTAGATCCGGATGAAACCATAATAACTCTTGATGTGAAAAGTTTGTACACCAACGTTCCACTGAAGGAAGCAATTGAAATTGCTTTACAGAAGCTGTACAGCCAGGAGTCTCCTCCTGAAATTCAAAGAGCAACCATGAAAAGGCTTTTGAATATGGCGGTCAGCAAAGCATATTTCAAGTGTAATGATTCATGGTATGTACAAGTTGATGGTTTAGCAATGGGCGCGTCCCTCGCTGTAATTCTGGCAAACTTATGGCTGAAAGAATACGAATTTGCTCTACGACAACAAATACCGGTGGGAACGGGGGTACAGCAAATTAATGACAAAAACGGCTTGTGCCCATGTTGCAGCAGGAAAGTCACATATAGATCAAAGGGGGTTGAATGCGAGAGTTGCCGAAACTGGTATCATCTAACATGCGGAAAAATATCCGATGACGTATACGCATCAAAAACCGAGATAGTCTGGTACTGTGAAAGCTGCTGCCGAGCTAAGAACAAGGAGAAGGATACTCCCCAGGTGAAATTGTTCCTCAGGTATGTGGATGACATTGTTAGAACAGTCAGAGGGGAGCCGAGTTGTCTTCTCGATGCCGCCAATTCTCTTCATCCAAACTTGCAGTTCACTCTAGAGAAAACTAATTCGGAGGGGAATTTGCCGTTCCTGGATTTGAACATAAATATATCGCAGGATAGGCGTGTAACTTGCAGTTGGTATCAAAAACCAACAGATACAGGGACTATACTGAACTATAGAAGCTGCGCCCCAACTCAGTATAAGCGTAGTGTTATCCAAGGCACTGTACACAGGGTTTTTAGGAGTACATCTAGCTGGGAGCAATTTGATAAGGCTATGGAAACTAATAGGGCGCAATGGCTGACAAATCAGTACCCTGAAAATTGGTCCGCAAAGGTGGCTTCAGACGCCTTGTGCAAGATCATCGAGGGTAAAGGCAAGCCCCTGGATAGTGACAGGGGTTTGTCAGTTCAATCACCAAAGGATGAAAAGCCCCCAATGCTGATGGTGCAATATAGAGGTAACCAGAGCCAATATTTTGCTAACAGGTTACGAAAATTAACAAACGTTCAAGTGGTTTTCACCACAAGAAAACTACAATCATGTTTACCATCACTGAAGTCAGCATTTTCTAATGACCTCAAGTCAAGAGTGGTTTATAAACTGTCATGTAGTGGATGCACTTCCACCTATGTCGGACAAACTGTTCGACCTTTGACCACTAGAATTGAGGAACATAAGAAAGCAGACTCACCGGTAGGCCTCCACCTTCAGCAATGCCAACTTGAGGGAAATAGCGCAGATCTTAGTTGGGAAATTATAGATAGGTCAAACAACCAAACAAAATTGCTAACACTAGAGGCAATACATATCAGGAAAGAGAAACCGGGCTTGAACACGCGCGATGAGTTTAGGAGCAGGGAGTTAACATTGAAAATTTAGTCCCAAAATATTTTTGGTTTTTTTATTCAAAACGTACATGTCTAAATCGAAATTATGACTCAGAAACTTCCAGACAACTTAATTTTAAAATGTTTAATTAATTTTAGAGGTTAAAAGTATTTTAATCTTAATAGTAATTTAGAGGTCAACTGTGATTGGCTAATTTTTTATCATGATGGTTTAGAACCAAATTGTATGTGATTTATTGTAAATAACATTTGTAAATTGATGTTTTATCGTCATTTAGAGTAGTTTATTGTAAAAATCCTGACGATGCACATAGTTGCGAAAACGTTTGAAATTTACTTTTTAGCAAAAATTTCTTCAATAGTTTTAATCCCTTGGGCCATTTTTTGGAGAATTGTTTTGATTTGAGCATGAAAAGATAAACTTGTTGAATCAAGAATTATGCCTAAATATTTGCATTCTGATTTTTTGGCTACATAATGCCCACTAATTACTAGTTTATCGGTATCCACATTTTTGCTATCATTTTTTTGACAAAATGTTATAAATTCCGATTTAGATGCATTCAGATTCAATTGGTTCTCTGCAAAAAATTCCGTTAGATTTCGTTCTTTTAATGAGCCTATAATTGGCAGTCGGTAGTCTCAATGTATTTTGAAAAGCCTTCTTTTTGTTTGTAAGATATTGGTATAAGTATGTTATACATTTTAATTCAATTCTTTTTTCGATTCCAATGAACGATTTGCTAATGCGAAGAAGGGAAGAAGATTTAAATTTCGATCTGAAATATGTTCTTTTTAACGCCCAGTTCAACTGTTTCTCTAGAGATAGCATCAAAGTAGCATTAATTTGTTGTAAAAATATTACTGAGTAATCTAAATGTGATAAAACAAGACAATGAAGCAAGGCAATCAATGATAATGTCGGCAGTTGTTGTCCAATTGTATCTATAGTTTTAAATCCTTGGGCCATTTTTTGGAGAATTGTGTTGATTTGAGCATGAAAAGATAAACTTGTTGAATCAAGAATTATGCCTAAATATTTGCATTCTGATTTTTTGGCTACATAATGCCCACTAATTACTAGTTTATCGGTATCCACATTTTTGCTATCATTTTTTTGACAAAATGTTATAAATTCCGATTTAGATGCATTCAGATTCAATTGGTTCTCTGCAAAAAATTCCGTTAGATTATTGAGTGATTTTTGCAATCGATTCAAAGCATCCTCAGAAATTATAGAAGAGGAAAAAACCATACAGTCGTCAGCATATTGAACTAAAGTACAACCTTCATTTAATCGCTCTTGTATGTCATTAACATTTAAATTGAACAACAACGGACCAGGTACCGTTCGTTGTGGGACACCTCGTTTTATTTCAATCCAGTCTGAAAAAATTCCATTGACGTTTACTCTTTGAATACGTTTGTTTAGGAAGCTAGCAATTAAAGCATTTGCTCCATTTGAAAAACCGAGAGAAAGCATTTTTTCAATTAAAACTTCATGCGAAATAGAATCAAAAGCCTTGGACAGATCTAATAAAGCTGCATGTACGATTTTTTTTGAATCTAATTGATTTCGAATACTTTCTGTCACATAAACAAGAGCATCTTGTGTTGAAATGTTTTTGCGAATTCCGAATTGAAATGGTGTCATTATTTGAAATTTGTCAAGATGTTCTGTTATTTGGGCATGTAAAATGATAATTTCTCACCTACTGATTTATGAGTACAAATTCAGGTTCTTATTGTTTTTTGTTAAATGTTTATTAGCTCAGCTTTCAGAGATTTTACGAAAGTTTTATTTTTTAGATTTATGCAAGTAGCTGTGTGAATGAATATTAATGCAAAATAGACCCACTTATTTCGAGGACGATGAACCGCTTTGTTGCTGTGAATACTTGAGTTTCGAAGAAAAAAGAAAAAGACATCTACTGCAGTTCTGCTGTGACTGCGTTCTCATTGACGAAGTCTGCGAAAGGTATGAATAACCGTTTCCGATCAAAGCAGTGCAGCGATGTCTTTTTACAGTTTATAGATATCCTTTCGATTTAAATTCAATGCTTTTATCAAATTAATTCTTTTATATCTATATATACGTTCTAAGGAGTTGTCACCATAGCTAAACGTTTCTGTATTTAAAAAAATAAGCGTTTAAATTGCCAATTGAGAGCAAAAATCATTTTGTTAGTGTGCTGATGTTGATTTTTAGTAATAATATGGATATTTGAATAAAAATATTGGGAGCTTTGTTCATATATTTGATAATACTCGATAAATCTATCTATATCTATCTATACTATAATTAAATGCTAGTGACAGCTATCTCCCATGTTAAAGCATAATAGTTTAACATGTTTAAGGAAAGAGTTTTTTCATGTTTAAGCTATATCATATATTGCAATGCTTAAGAAAATTTTTAAATTAGTTTTCCGCAAGTTCATTAATTTTTCAGTAATTTTTAACGAGGCCAAATTAAGTCTGTTTGTATACCTGCTTTTCAAAATTATTTTGATTATGTCTGTCTACCCGTCTCCTATTTTTTTTAAACTTTCATCTATCAAATCTATTATCTGTTTTATATATTATAATGCGGGCTTTACTATCTCGCCATGTTCAAGCTTTTTGCAACGTATTTTTTGCAGGTTAAACAATAGTTGAGGTTTTTTTCCGATTTTCCAGTTTAAATTCAGTGTTTATTTCATCAAGATTGTAACTAGCAACCCAATAGTTGGATGTTGTCAGCGTTTTCCAGTTTTTGTCAAATCTTTTTAGTTTATGAGATAGGAATTTTTCGAGCCAAATTTTTTTCACCAAATCTCACTTCTCAAATCCTAGTATAAATTACTTCCAAGAGAGTTTTCTATAGGTTGCGGTTAATGAATCTTCCTTCAAAATATATAAGGTGGAGTGAGGTCTGTATTTAGACAACCACGTATTCATACTCGTCAGTAAGCAGACAAATACTATATTAAATAATCAGAATCGAGAGGAGAAAGCAAATTTACAAAATAAATAATTATTGATAATTCATTTCTTCCTTGTCTCGATCCTTATTGGTTAATACCGTGTTTGTCTGCTTACTGACGAGTCTGAATACGTGGTTGTCTAAATACTGCTACGTAACCAGATAAGGTGTAGGTTTTAGTTTTACTTTTTATTGTTTTAAATGTCAAGCAATTGCTAATTGAAGAATTTTGATTCTCTAGAAATTTTTATTCTCTAGACATTAGCGGTAAACGAAGGTTCTCATCGTAGAAAGGCAAATTCCCGGCTGCTTGGCTAGGAGCCCTTCCTTCCGCGAATTTGGGTCTGAAGCTCACGAACGCTCAAGTCTGTACCACAATTGGATGTAGACTAGGAAGTCGCTTATGTGAACCTCATCAGTGCGTATGCGGACAGGCTGTAGATTCCTTCGGTCAGCACTATTTATCTTGCCGGAAAAGCGCTGGCAGATTCGCTCGTCACTCCGCACTAAATGAAATTATGAAACAGACCCTCGGCTCCGTCAACATTCCCGCTATCCTCGAACCTCCCGGCCTCTCCAGAAGTAATGGCAATCGCCCCGATGGAATGCCTCTTCTCATTTGGCAGAGGACGCTCAGTTGTGTGGGGTTTATGCTGTTTTCTATTTTCCTAATTGATTTTTTTTCACGAAAAAAAAGTTGAAGGGTGATGGTCTTGATTTTGATTCCATTTGCAGTTTTCGATGTAGTGATTGTAAAATGGTTCCTGGAAATACAACTCTTTTGGTTTTGTTCTCTTGACTATAACTGTTTTGGTATTTGATCCTTGTAGAAGCTGGAAGAAGATTGTGTTTTTGTCTCCGGAGAAAACGTACAATTTTCCAAACGAGGAAGAACGATACTGGACGTGATATGGTATTAAATTTTGGATCAGACGAAAAATCGGGTTTCTTTCTATTGCAGCAGGTCTTATTGCCCAGCTAAGCTGCTTTTCGAGTGATACTATTATATGTTTTGTTATTCGGCTGATGACTTTTGATGGCTTTGAAGATGGCTAATTACCAATATGTTTTTCTCTTCGCCCTGGAACGTAAGATGGAAATTATTTCATCTAGTTGTACATTTGGTTTAGTATTTTCACTTCTGCATTGCTTCCTGCTAGAATTATCAGCTCAATTTGTCGGTTTTTAATTTTAGGTGATTTCTTGTAGCGAACTGGATTATACTTGTTTTCGGGTTAAAAGTTAGATTAACAGAATCACTTGAATCGTTTTACCTTTGGTTCACTTGAAATCGAAAGTTAGACGTTATTTCGCGCATGCGGTGAAGAGGTGACGCACATGCCTATGAAGTCAAAAGTCATGGGTTCGAATCTGGCTAGATCCTGATTTTTTGTAAGCGAAAAATTGTCCGCTCAACAAAAAATTCTTTAGGGGATTTCTTTTAGTCTGCTTTCTTTGTCCGCTCAACTTTTAAAACACATATTTGTTCCGGGTTGGTGCAAAAAATTGAGCTCTAAGAAAAGCTGCTCTTTTTTTTATCCTTTTCCTTACAGTTTTTTGGAAGTTATTTTCTGTATTAATTTCAAGAGTGTTCTGTGCATTTATTGCAGTGGTAACACTTATGCTCAAGACTAAAAATCCCGGAATTCGATTTCAGGCGGGACGTTTTCTTTTTTGAAACTGAAAATCTAGTGTGGTTTCTTCTTAGCTTTTTCAAAAGCTCTTTGTTATTGTCTACTGGTGCAGGTAATTTTTTTCCAGGTATATTTTTTGTCCTTTTTCGCTGTTTTTATTACTTTCTTTGACATGAAAAAAGTTTTTTTTTGTTTATTTTTCCATTTATGGTTTGTGTTTTCATTTGCTGCTAATCATAGTCATATTTTTTTTTGTATCACAAGTGATGCGAAGCTCGGCTCCGCCTGTGTGTAGAATAATGCGAAAGTTTTTGACAAAATTCTAGCAGATGCTGTTGAGTAAAATTTTTTGATGATCGCAGAAATTTAAAGTATCATCTGCAGATTGAACTGCTTTGAAATTTTTGGGTAATTGTTCTTTTAGAGCTTTTATGTTGAAAAATAAAGTTCCTGAGACTGTAGCTTGATGCACACCTTGCTGGAGTGAGACCAAGTCTGACTCTGAATTGTTCATTTTAGTCTTTTGACTGTTGCTGAAGTCAAAAGTAATCTCAATAGCCGAATCTGATAAACCGAGACTCTTTATTTAGTTTGAAGAAATTCGTCATTGGTTGAGTCAAAAACTTATGAAAGCTCTGAGAAGGCTAAGGCCACCTATCTGCTTTCATCCATACATTTTCGGAAAAATTCAGTACAGTTAAGTATTGCATAGCAGAGTATGACAATCTAAAACCCTAGTGTGTATTGCTTAGTTAGTTATTGTTAAACAGATTTTCATTTATTTGTTCAAGTGTTTTAAAAACATTTGATAATGCGCCTGTTTTTGGAATTAGTTTTAGTTTTGCTAGTTCTGAGTTTTTTTGTATATTGGAGTAACCAAGCCTTTTTCGAGTTTCATCGGAAACATATTTTGTTCTATGTATTTATTTATCTAGAAAATTGAGTGTGGATATATTTCCTTGCAGCCGTCTTTAAAAACTTATACTGGAAGATTCGATTGACGTGGTGGTGTTCTAGCATTAAGATTGGCTAATGACGTTTTACATGAAATTTCACTAATAAATCGGAAAGAAAATTGAAAAGAATAAAGGATAGTTTTTTTAGGTGTAATATTGTGTTTTTTTTTGTTTAAAAAATTTTTTTGTCAACGAAATAGCCTTGTCTTGTAAGTTTGCAGCTTAGAATATTTGCCGTTTTGAAATTGTGTGTTATTGAGTCTTCAAACTAGTTTTTTTTTTTAAATTTTTAAAAATTTTTTTATCGATTTTGGTGCTTTTCAATAGTTTTTGTAAGCAGTGTTAGATTATTTGAGTTTATGGAATTTTCCTTCACTATCGCAATGTTTTTCAAAACAAGAAAAAATTCGTTAAAAGGCTGTTTTTTGTTGTTTAGAACTTTTTTCATCAAGTTTAACTGATGAAAATTTCAAAAAAGTATTAGAAGGTGGTTGTTTTCTATCTGTGACCTCTGTGATGTGTGAATTATTTGAAATCATAGCGACATAATTTTCCGGGACTAAATGATTTGTTTTGACCGAACCTCAACAAAACTAGCATGTCTGATCGATCGCGGTTGTCAGCTTTTGCCCATTTTTCTGAACACATAAACACAAACATTTCAAAACATTACAATATTTCGTTCAAATGAACAGGCAAGGTCAATTAGACAAAGTCAAGGTAATGAAAAGTTTTGCATGTGAATTGTTTTAAATTAATACGACCGATTAGTTTCATTCAATTTTTTGTGAGGGATAATTTGCCACGGTTAAACTAATCGCATTACGCTGTTCAGTATTAACTATTCCTCTCTTTTTGAATGGTTTGACAAAAATTGTGTTTATTCACATTAGTCTCTTTTTGAAGTTCAAAATCAGGATGTTATATTTTCAACTTCAAAAAAATGCCCTTTTACGGAATTAGCTTGATGTTATAACTTTTTGGTGTGAAAAGCGTACAATAGATCATTTAGTAGTCTTAGAAGTAGTGAAATTGTTTGTTCAGGTGTCTAAGATGTGAGACAATTCCAGTGAGTCGGTTCTACAAGTTATCCGCAGTGATGCTGGACCGCATGCGGATTCCTTCGCCAGGAGGGGCTGTCAGGCTCACGTGGAGACATGCTCTGCCCTTTGTGGTCTATCCCCTCCTGGTCTACTGTGGTTCATACGGTGCCTTCATCTGCGCCTTCAGCTTCCTAGTTCTTCTCTACGGGTGAATTTTCAGTACACAGTACTAAAATGAGACAAAACTGAGATAATTATCATTGGTGTCTTGCTTTATGAATTTTTTTATTTTAAATTGCTTGATAATGTTCTGAGTGACCAAAATATGTTCCAGAAGGCTTTTTATTGATATTTTCTCTGCGTAGTAGTGTAAGGAACCCAACCATCAATAGAAATAAGCGAACTATTTATTGACATGGATGGCGATCATAAGAGTTACAACAGTTTCTTCCACGTTTTAGAATCTAAGAAGTTATGTAAAATCTACTTTTTTCCAGGATCGCTCTCTACTCGCAGTTTATGTTCTCGCGCAAGCAGAAGAACACAGTCGTGGGTTGTTTCATCTGGGCATACTTAGTGTACACTTATTTGCTGTACCTCTGGTATCTCTACCCTATGCACAACATTCCTCAGACATGGCTGGCAATTCAACACGTTTCCATTTGCTTCTTCATACTCTCATATGTACTAACTCTCGCAGGTTAGAGAAGTGTGTTTCCTGTTGACTTGATAAAACAAAAGGGCAGTAGTCGTAGAAAGTGTGTAGCCAAACCTGGTTTGAATAGTAAGTTTTATCATGAGTAAGTTGTTAAAATACATTCTTATTTGGAAATAACGAACTGACAATTGATTGTTGCTTGCATTTTGAGATTTTTTTGGGCTAAGTACAGGGTTGTCATGTTAATAACAAGGTGTTTCTAACAGACCTAAATTTAACATATTATTAACACAACGTTTTAAAAAATTCTAGCTTTCAATTCAAATGCAGTCGTTTTTTCATATTTCATCGAAAAAATTAGGCGACTAGGCCTTTGCTATTTCCTCCAGAGCTAGATTAGAGCGGTGTTCCTCAATTCTTAGACTCACCTATGGAAAAGTTTTTTGGGTGTCGAGAAGGCTGGAAAGCTAGGGTTTCTCTTTAAACAACTCACTGAGTGATTTTAAAACTCAATTTTGTTTTTAATGTGTTTTTTTTTCATCTAATTAACACGTTAAAAACGTTTTGATTAACAATATGGCAGCCCTGGCTAAATAACGTTTGACGAGTTTTTTGTCTATCCGAAATGTTTCAGGTATACTTTTGACCATTTTCATCTGGTTGATACTTTTTTTTAATTTGCAGTTCGTAAGTACAGTTATTCTGTTCTGTTCACTCTTGAAGTCTGCTCCTTTCTTATGGAAAGTATGCAGCTCTGCATCTTCGCTTCCAACATATCCACGCTATGAACTACTTAACGCGAAGGTTTTGCACGAAGGTTTTTTCACCTTCAATCTGGTATAGCATTTCATGAAACTTCATTTGTTTTGTAGAGCTGGCAAACGAAAATTCAAATTATACTCGGGCAACCATAACTTATGTAAATTACCATAAATGCCTTCAGTGATTAACACTGCCTTGTAGTAGACTTAATTAGCACACTGTGTCACCAAAACAGTATCAATTTATCTGGGAGCGATTAATGTGGAGGAACAATCTATGATGTGACACATTCGCAAATTTTATGTAAAACAATATCGGTTGGTAACGATGGAAGCAGGCAGAGAGAAAACATTGAGATAAAGATATTTGTTGAGAGCAACCCGGGTTGACCAAAACTGCTAGTCATACCATTTTCATATATGGAAAAAGGCCAATCATACTCTTTTCATGCAATTTCAGAAGTACAGAAAATTTGCATGAAAGGTCAATGATTAGTGATTTTCAATTATGAAAATTGTATGACTAGCATTCTAAAAAGTTAAGTTATTCAAGTTTTTGTGGTTTTGTTCGTAACCGAAGACAAGTGACAAAGACTTTCACCAAAGACTACTCAAAAGAATATTCACCAAATTTTTGATCATCTTGCATTTACAATGCATTGGAAAATATCTGAATTGAATTATTTTAGACAATTTTTTTCCAGGTATATTTTTTGTCCTTTTTCGCTGTTTTTATCACTTTCTTTGACATGAAAAAAGTTTTTTTGTTTATTTTTCCATTTATGGTTTGTGTTTTCAAAATATCTGAATCGAATTATTTTAGACAAATCATATAATGAAAGTATCAAACTTTAAAATTTAGGCAAAAATTTTTAAGACGATCTTTTTTAAAATTTGAATTTAAAATTAATCGGGCATTGATCAAGGCATACATAAATATTATATACAGAAAAAATAGGCGTTTTAAGCGTTTTTGAAAAAGCTATTCAGAGAAACGGAAAAATCTAACTTTTGTGTATTTCCAGGACTGTTATGCATACAAAACAAATTAAATTTTGAATACAAAAAAAGTTTTGTTTTAGTAGAAAGATTCAATTTGCTGTTGATTTTTTTTGGGGGGTACTGCTTCGAAACTACCTCATCAAAAAAATGCTAGTCATACAGTTTCCATAGTTCTCCATTTTTTTCTTTTTTATTTGTGACAGGGGCGGATCTAGGATTTTCTCGAGGGGGGTGGGGTGACAGGGGCGGATCTATAAATTTTTTATAGGTCGTCCAACTTTTCCCAGCTCTCCCAAAGCACTACAACGACCATGTTTCGGCCAAATTTGCTACGCCGTAGGCATAATTTAAAAGAAAAAAACAGTCCAAAAAAGCGTTTTTAGGCACTTTTTAGAAGAGGTTAACAAAAAAAATCGCGTTTTTTCAGCGCACGCTTTCCCCTCAAACTTATTCAATTTTGAAAATTATTAGGGTCCGTTAGCCAAAAATGGATATCTCAAAAATAGTACAAAGGGGACCTTTTGGGTCGGAAGATGGGCGTCCGCCCCTTCCTCTAAATCCGCCCCTGATTTATGACGATATACCAACTTTTATGCCAAAACAAGAAAAAAGTTCCTGAAAATTCGATGACACTATTTTAGCAAAACGAAAAAAAATTCTTATGACTAGTATTTTTTCATAGACTGTTTATGGATTTGTATGATTAGCAATTTAGGTCTATGGAGGTCAACCCGGGTATGTGCGATTTGTTTGATGGTTGGTGTGGATCCCTAAAATGTTTGCTTTCGATCTTTTCTCTAAATTCGCTGGACAAACTTTTCTTACTTGCTTTTTTATGTATGAGATCCAATTCTCTAATTGTACCGCAGTCGTTTAATTAGAAAACGTGAGACGACATTTCTTAAAAGGTGATAACTCATAACAGACGACGCTTCTTAACAATGAATTAAGTGGCTAACAGTGATTCATGCTTGCCGAATGTGAACGCAGAGGCTTGTGACTACTTGCCAATGCCTTGTTAAGAATCACTAGTTTTAGCCGCGAAGAATTGCGGCGTGTTACGAGTTTTCGTCCAAGCATAAAGTGGAGGGCTTAGAAAGCAATGCAAATAATTGGCCTATAACTCTGTTCTGTTCTGTATTGAACAGGTCCTGGTTTCGTTCCCATCCGCAGTGGGGAAGAACAGGAGAAGATCACCTACATTAATCAGTGTGAGGTGCAGATCAACGGCAGTGAATTACAGGCGGAGGACACTTACATTAAAGTGGATGAAGTGACAGGAGCCACTGAAGAGATTCAGCCTATGAAAGAGTTCTACAAGTAAGTTTTCTTCAGTAAAAATAGTGACAAAAATACACTTGTCGATCATTTTTCTGCACTCCATCTTTCAGAAGTTTCTTTTTTTTTACATTTACGATAGACGAGGGTCGTGAAATCGGTCGTCGACCTTTTGTCCAATGAACAACTTATCTTTATAAGCGCTTGTTAAGAGACAATGAACGCAGTGAAGACATATAGGTCTTGGTGGTTTTTTATAAAGTCTAAGAAATTGTTCACGCCTAGATTTGATTTTTCGCGCTTTGATTTTGGATTTTTTGTTAAAGTACGTTCATTTCTTTTGTTAAAAAAAGGCAAACTCCACTATCAAACAGAAAACTGTAAAAGTCACGAAAAACGTGATCGACTTCTAGTTTCGAACGTCTTGTTTTCAGATTTCTAAGCGGAATAGAAAATCTGGCTTTGACCCTTTTTTCATTTTGGGTCAAGTTTATATTTAAAATTTTCGACCATAACTTATATTTGAAAGTCAACAAGCTTCAAAGTCATACATATTTTTGAAATTTTTACAATAAAAATAATCAGTGTTTTTTTTCTATTTCCTTGTGTTCGTTGTCTCTTTTCAACTGTCTATTGGCTATGTTTTATTTCGGCACGTGACTGAATTACTGCTCCAATTTTATTGATGTAGAGAGTACAAGAATTACTACTAGAGCTGGTAAGCGTTTATGGATGATTTTACAATTATTATAGCTCTTCTGCACTCGCCTCCCCTAAAATATTAAATTTCGTTTTTGAAAAACTATTATGGAATTTTTACATTGCAGCGAAACTTTGATTGGTGAACAAATTAACTATTGCTATTGTGAATTTACCCAAACGAGTTTGCGAGTCTTATGTTATTTTACGGGCTTACAGTTTTCCCAAGGTGTAACTCGCATAAAATAAAGCTAATTTTGATGCTAGTTGCTACACAGCTTGGACAAACTAATAGCATATAATTATTCACCTTACTGGTGGCTAGTTTTTTTTTGTTAAATTTGAGATGTGATGACGTCAGACTCGTAATCTCCAGTTTGGGGGTTTGGTTTCGGTTCTTGGCATATATTTTGTTTTTAAAGATTGTTTTTACTTTTTCTTTAACTTATTTCATTTTTGGAGCCAATTTGAGGCGTTTTGGAAGATCATGATTTCAGGGGTCGTAACATGTGAAACCTCAATGAAATTTAAAATTTCGGGGAGCCAAAGAGGCCTTTTTTGCAATACTTTTTTTTGGCTAAAGAATTGTGTGCCAAAATTTTGTCGACATAGTTGACCGAAGTTTTCCTTGAAAAGTCTTCTTGATTAACAGTCGATTTAGTTTTCTTGATTAAGATTTGAGGACGTGAGACAATGAACGTAGATGGTTTCCTGTTTTTTTTTTCAGGAAAAGGCTTAAAATTCTTTAAAGTTTTACAGAAGTGCATTCATGCATATTAATGCATTTATGAATGCTTTTAGTTATGTTTCCCTTTTTTGAGTTCAATTCAGTTTCATCTGCGAAAAGGTAAGTTGCGCTTTCCAATTACGAAAGGTACAGTTCACGGAACACGTGATCGACTTCAATTTTCGAAAGTGGAATTTAATTTTCAGATTTTCCAATTGAATAAAAACTTCACCTATTGATCGCGTTTTCTCAATTTGCTTTAATTTAATCAAAAATGTCAATAATAAATTACTCAGTAATAAAGTCTATTTCAACTTCGATGAGCTAAACGTCATTTAATTTTTAAAATTGAATTTGTTTAAAAAATAGGTCAATTTTTCTTTACTGTTTCCTTGCGTACATCGAATCTTTACCAACGGTCATAAGTTTTATTTTTGTTGTATTTTTTTTGGAAATATCCCTCAAGGCTTGAATTTGGTGATTAAATTCATCAACATAACTTCACAAAGAAAACAGCTGTAAAACGATACCCGAGAACTTAATGTTCAAACTAGCGTGTAGCGCACCTCCGGTGCTTCGAGTTCTTAAAAAATTATAAAAAATCGCATACATTGGAAATGAGATCTGCATCCTTTGAGTGTACTGACAGCACCCAATTACAGGAATAGTAATTTCAAATTTTGTAAAAATTTTTATTTAAGTTTTTTTACTTAATTTTTGAAAAACCATAAAAAACGTCATGTCTCGAAAACTACAAGGATATGTGCCGAATTTTTAGAGGCAAAAGTAGCAACTCCTGGAAGTTCAATTGAAGAGCCTCAATATAGAGATGTGAACTTAGTTCTTTGAACAATTTACAAGAAAGACATAACAAACGTCACATCTCGGAAAGTAAGAGTACTTGAGCAGTCGAATTTAGACGCAAGATTTGCAACTTGCAGCTCGTGAGAGCGCCTTCCAAGTACGAAACTACAATGTTGAGAATTTCAAGTTTTTGAATTTTTAAAGTCTGAAGAAGTTTTCCGAAGAATTAAAGAAATCATAAAACACGTCATATCTTCGAAACTACAAGGATTTGAGCAGTCATATTTGGAGGCAAGATTCGCAACCACTGAAACCCTGAGATTACTCTGACAGCCCCGACTACAAAAATGGGCGTCTCAAATTTTGAAGAAAAAAATTTAAATTGTTTTTGATAAAATCTCAAAAACGTCATTTCTCCAAAACAGCAAGGATTTGAGCAGTCATATTCAAAGGCAAAACTCGCAACATCTGGTACTACCCTGAAAGAGCGTCTCTTCAAATGTTGGAAATTTCATATCTCGAAAACTTCATATCTCGAAAACTATTTGGATTTCATATCTCGAAAACTATTTCATATCTCGAAAATTTCATATCTCGAAAACTATTTGGATTTGAGCACGCAAGACTCACAACCCCTCGGGGTACCCTAAGAGCTTTCAACTACGGGATGGAGACCATCAAAATTTTTGAATACTTTTAAATCTAAGTATTTTGAAAGTTTTTGAAGAAAAATCATAAAAAACGTCAAATCTTGAAAACTACAAGGATTTGAGAAGTCAGATTCGGGAGCAAGATGCGCAATCCTGAGAGTACCCTGTGAGCTTCCAACTACTGGGTTGAGATTTTCAAATTTTGTGAAATTTTAACAGTTCAAGTTTTCTAGATATTTTTGAAAAATCTCGAAAATTGCCGTATATCGCAAACTAAAAGGATTTGGTTATTCTTATATGGAGGCCCAATTCGCAACCCCTGGGGAATCATTATTTCATCGCACCATTGGGTTGCTAATTTCAAAATTGATGAAATAATCCTTGACATCAAACTTGAAAAACAAAAAAAATTCTTAACCATTGCAATGTACGATATATCTTAAACGTGAAAAAATTCTTTCGTTAAACATGCAAAAATATTACGTTAAAAAAGTTTAAACATGGCAAGATAGTGAAGCCCGCATTTAATTATATAATAGATCGTTAAAATTGATAGACCGCTCTATTACATTTTTTTGAGGACGTAGCGTAAGAGTTCTTTATAGACGCTAATTTGGTTTAATTGGGTTTTTGCCAGATGAACAAAAAAATTATTGGTATCGAAATTTTCCTTATTTGTGAAGAATCTGGTATTTTTTTTCACAATGAATTTACTCCTATTCTTAGTGACGCGAAGTTTCAATATTCTTGAAGTTTTTGTACATGATTAATTTGGTTGATACGTTTTTGTACTTGATTCATAGCTTCAATTCTGTCGGAATTTTCTCAAAGCTTTTTTTAGAATAACTTTCTATGGTTTTATATGAGAGTAATTGAAGTCTTTAAAAGAAATTGTTGAAAGTTTCAATCAACCTCTTAGACTTTTTAAATTGTGAAAAAAAATGATTTTTTTTTGTAATTTTTGTTGTTTTTCTCGGTTCAAGTAACAAAATTGGGTCAAACCTTTGTTGTTTTTGATTCTACGATCGGCTGTACTTTAGGTATTCTTTTTGAGGCAGATTAAATATTTCATTAGTTATTTTAGATTTTTTTGGTCATTTTTTTTGAGTTTTTCTATATTTGATGTTTGATTTTTTTTCTCGTCAGATTCTAACCCAGTAATTTTTTCATTTAGCCATTTCATTTGAAAAACAAAGACCAACCAAGCTTTTTTCTTTATTTGATGTTTGATTTTTTTCTCATCAGATTCTAACCCATTGTTTTTTTCATTTAGCCATTTCATTTGTAAAACAAAGACCAACCAAGCCTGAAGTAGTTTTTTCAGCTAATAGTTTTTTTTCGGTTTATTTGTTTAGCACAAACCTTGCTTATTAGTATATAGTTTGGCATACCGAGATCGGTCGGCTTCAATTCCGTCGGCTTAGTTTGTCAATAGTTTTATTATATTAATTCTTGTTATTAATATAACGACCAAACGAGAGATTTTTGCGAGTCTGAATCACTCTCTTAAGCCCTTCATAACAAATTAAGAAAATTTAAACATGAAAATTAGTCACTTTTTTGAAATAAGAAAATTGTTTTATAAAAATACGAATTTGGTCTATGACCCAAATTGGCACGAGTGTTGTAATACGATAGGATCATGGTTACACAGAGTTGTCGCTTTTGTGCAATATTGCTAGTTGTGTTAAGTTTCACATGGGCTGATATTTTTTCGATGATTTTATTGCTTTGTAGTTCTTAAGTTTTCCCCGATATATTGTCGTTCCTTGTTGTTATAATTTGTTACTTTTTCATGAGTAATGAAAGTAGTGAGTACTCGTAGATAGGTCTTGTCTTGGTGATTTTTTTTTCTGTTTTTTTTTTCAGGAAAAAGTCTTGTTCACACTTAATTTTGATTTTTCGCGGCTTGATTTTTGATTTCTGAAGCTCAGTTCATTTCTTTTGTTGAAAGTAGGGCAAACTCCACTGTTGAACAGCAAAAAATTAAAAGTCGCGATAAACGTGATTGACTTCCAATGGAATTTATTTATCAGATTTCCCAACAAAATAAGAATTTACCTATTGCTCCAGTTTTCTCAAATTTGGATCAAATTTTTAGTGGAATTCAAAGAGTTTTAAGGGCACATGTTTTTTCTTTTAAGTTCGGAAGTTGAATTTTTTTAAAGACAATTCAATTTTTTTTTCTATTCCATGCGTTCATTACTCTTTTCCAACTATCAGTTGGCTAAGTCTTCGATTTACGCGGATGTGGCACTTTTTTCGATACTTATCGAGCAGGTCTGTCAATATGTGTTTAGTTCGAGCAGTTTTCCGTTACTGTTCCAATGTTACGTAGAAATTTGTTCGTAAGTGTTGTGAAGCGCAGATTCGGCGCCTAAGCTTCGGGTGAGCACGACGAAAAAACGCGATTTTTGGTTAAAACGGAAGTTAAAACAGATTTTTTGGCCTGTTTTTTAATTTGCTCGTAGCACAAAAATTTTGGCCAAAGCAGGGTCTCTTAAGTGCTTGGGGAAAGCTCGGAAAATCAATTTGGTCGACCTAAAAAAAGGTTGACAAGTTTTCGAGATGTTTTGAAAATCTGTCCACCCCACCACTCGAGAGAATCCTAGATCCGTCCCTGAGCAATTCTGAATCATCCATATTCGGAGAAAACAACATCTATGTTCAAAGTCATCTGTTTCACATTTGGCTGTTTGATGAAATATAATCATTAAAAAATCAGACAATATGAACAACTTCAAAAAGCATTGAGATTTGATTCGTTCTCTCTTTTTTACTTAGCTTCTGACTTGTATAATTGATATTTAGATGTTGAACTATAAAATATAAATACTAATCAATCTTGATCCATAAGTACACCCTAATTATTGTTAGTGAATAATTTTGATTCAAAATTGGTTTAAAACCTAACTTCGCTTTTACCAGGGTTTCCTGCATGTCTATTGAGATCAGGAAACGAAGAGTAGGGTTAAGATCAGAATTAGGCTAATTTTGATCTTACTCCTGGGAATAATAATCATTATTATTTATTTCAAATCGGTATGTTGCAATCAAAGATCGATTTATTTATAATTTGATGAAGCACCAATTTGTGAGATCTTTCGATCTGTCGGGTGACATCTCCTTGACTTCCTGGTCCAAATAGATCTGCAGGAAAAACTGGTAAATTGGAAGTTAATTTGAAACCAAGCAATCCGGCATAAAAAAGATAGCGTGACAAACAGACGATGTAATTTATCTGAAACTTAACTATTCAGAGATAATTACTACTTACGGTCATAACTCATTGTGCTTTTATTCAAGGTTGAATCCGCAGTTCTTAGCTGAAAACGACTCCTCAACTACTTCCAAACTGCCTCCTGGATCCCAGAAAGTGGACCCTAGCTCCATGGCCGAGGTACCTGAAATGGAGGCAGATGACCTAGAGACTGGCTGTGGGGTGTACTGGCCCGTGCTGAAGTGTGATTGGTTCTACTGTACAGTGTGTAAGATGCTAGTGCCTCCTCTGTCTGTGCACTGTAGAACATGCGACAGATGTGTGTACGAACTAGACCATCATTGTTTCTGGTACGAGTACCTGCTTTGTTGAAAAATTACTCAAGTTCAACATCCACTTTTTTGCCTAATATTATATATTTTTAAATAGCGTTCAACTGAAATTCACGTGACACAGTTCCAGTAGCACAATTGCGTAGGACTGTTGAGTTACATTGTCGAGTCTGTGGTTCAGTTTCTGTAGAGGGTATTTGTTTTTCAAAACTTATAAATGTTTTTGAGTTCTTGGCTTTTTCTCTTTTTTTCTTCGCTACTTCGAAGAGAAGCTACTTCTTGCTGTTTTGTCTTTTGTGCTTGCGGAGTATAGCTTCGCCTCTGTGGTGAAATATATTTTTTTGAATTGGAAGAAGAAGGACTGGAAGGGCTACAATTTGATTATACTAGCTAGCGAGTGTAGTGTATTAGTATGACTGTTTTTTGTCCAACTTAACTCGCAAATAAAAGCGCTCATTTGGTGGCACTATTGCTATAATCACGAGCTGTAGCATTGGAAATTTCTTAACATCTGTTTTATGTTTTGTGGACTAGTGTTTGCTATTGTTAAGCGACGGTGGCGCAGATAGTAGGACGTAAGACTCCTTAGCTACTGGTCGGAGGTTTAAAGCCGAACTTAGCACAAGATTTCTTTATATTTGCTGGAATTTTTGCTACATAGCATGGGCAATTTATTAGCATCTAGAGCTGCATCATAATCTATCAATCTGATACGTATTGAGTTAGGTCCTTGAGGTTAACTCATAGAGTAATTTCGGATAGGGTACACCGTCTGCTCGTCACGCTATCTTATTTTCGGCCGGATAGATTCGTGCAACTTCTTAGTCTAATACCGATCCTAATCTTACTCTTATATCTACTAGTCTCAGGGTGTTTAACTAGTCTCTGCTAGGCTCAATAGATCTAGAGTATACTAGCTTATTGCAACTGCTTTAGTTCTTTTGGAGAGGTAACTATTTTCTAAGTTAAATTCAAATCTCTCTGGTGCTGAAATTACAAGTAATTTCAGCACTTACAAATAAGTGGGTTGTTAGTTAGATGGATTATGATTGGTTAATATTAAATATTTTACAGTGGTAAAATATCTAATTTATCCAATAATAAAAAGGAGTTTAGATCAGGTTCCAGTATAGCGTTTAACTGTTAATCAATCGCATGTTTTGATTTCTCTACCGAAGATCTGCCATATATTTGATAACTGATGCGTGCGTTGAAAAACTCGGAGAAAGTTACTTTCTATTCATAATGGAAATTTTTTTACTAGAGTTAATAGACAACGAGTGTAGTCATAAAATTTAGGTGAGCGTCTGAGTCATTCATGTCCTTTTTGGTAGCTGTATTTTTGCCAATGCATATTTACAATTAAAATTTGGTGTCAGTATTAATATCGAGAGCTGCTGCATTGTTCGGGAAGCGTCGTACGAGTTTTGGGTTGTCTGATAGCAGCTCCAAGTTTTCCGGGTAGTCGTATTCGTCGAGGGAAAAGATGATCTGCTGCCAGCGTGGATTCTTGCTTGGTTTGATATCTTTTATCAGCTCCTCATAGTCGAAATCGACTTCGCCCCACCCAAATGTCTTTCGCACTCGGTTGATATAGCAAGTGATCAGGATTCCTAGTGGGAACCAAATGACGGCACTGAAGAAAAGCAGCAAGGCAATAATTTGCGCCCACCAAGGATATGGGGTATTGTCATCGAGGTATGTGAGGAACTTGTCATCCTTAATCTCCAGTACAAATTGGCCGATGAGTGTTATTAGAATGGACAAGGGTCCAATGAACTTGATAAGGATCATGAAAGGCCAAGGGAGTTTCATGTCGGTTAGGAGTTTGAAGTCTCGAGCAAAGTTGTTGAAACCGTAGATCCAACCGGCGGCAATGAATTCGAATAGACCCATGAATACCAACACCAACACACTGCCGTATTTGTCAAAAATATCAATAAAGAAGGAGCCGTGAACGGAAGAGAAGAGCATTGCGAACAGTCCTGATGCGAAACAGCAAGCAAACAAAGTCAATTTGTAGCCGAATTTCTTGGTTACACCTAAGTCTTTAAGAATCGACAGGTATCCTTCTAGGGATCCGAAAGCAGAGTCCAAGCCAAGAGTAATGATCATGAGGTAAAACATCATAGACAGAACAGAGGCTCCGTATTCAGTGTTGTCGATCAGATCAAGAGCTTTGGCCATGGCGATGAATACTAGGCCAGCAGAGGCATCGTCTTGTTTCACGTAATCGCGGATGGTAAGACTAGGGTCGCAATTGGGTGTTTCGTTGCTATGACATTTGGTCCACTCGTCCTTAGCCATGTGACCTGAATAAAGCCGAGAATTGAAACTAGTTCACATCGAAAAAGTCACTTGTGAGCTATACATGAAAGTTTGTCCGTTCTTTTAAGACTTAAGAGTTTGTTTTTTGTTCTGCCCTGTGACTAAATTCTATTACGAGTAATGAACGCTTATGTAGGTATTGCTGTTTTTTTCCCGTTTTTTTTTCAGGAAAAAGTCCTCAAAGTCTCTAATAACTACAGATAAGCATTCATACATATTGATGCATTAATGAATGGACTTAGGTATAAATGCACTTTTTGAGTTCAATTGAAAATCATCTGCTGAAAGTGACCTAAAAAGCACTCTCCAAATACGAACGTGGAAATGGCGCAAAATAAACGTGAACGTTTTCTAGTTTCGAAAATATAGTTTACTTTTTAGATTTCCAGCGGAATAAAAACTTTGCCTGTTGATCCAGTTTTCTCAAGTTGGGATAATGTTATCGAAAAGCGCCAATCATAAATCGTTCTAGGAAATCAAAGAGCTTAAAGGGCATCTATTTTTTTTCTATGAAATTAGAAAGTTGAGATTTTTTTAATGTTTACTTGCGTTCATTACTCTTTTCCTATCTTCGATTGGTTATATTTTGTTTTATTCCAATGAGATGTGTCGAACAGCTCCTTACCCTTGATTGAGAAGATGCCGAGTGCTGCGTAGAGAGACGTCAAGCTGTTGACCACAATGATCACAATCGAATCGCGGAAGGTGTTGTTCTTCACGGGCATGTAGGATGCCATCGCAATCAGACCTCCAAAGCCGAGTGAAGCCGAGAAAAAGACCTGTTCACTAGCGGCCTGCCAAACAGTGAAGTCCCCGAGTTTACTCCAGTCAGGCTCAAACAGGTACTCGAGGCCATGCTCGGCACCGTCAGATGTTACACCAATGAAGAATAGGATAGTCAACATGAGGTAGGGATACAAAGCGGTGAAGTAGATGACCTTGCCGACAGATTGGACTCCGACCAACATGGCGAGAAATACGACAAACCATGCGACGACAGTAGCGAAGTAAAGAGGCCAGACAACTCCGCTGCCGGTCTCAAGATCTGGTGCTGAGTTGACGATTGAATTTTCAAAGTAGAACTGAGCTGGGTTGCTTGTACAATCAGAATTGTTCGTGGGACAGGACAGCCAAGGCAGGTCTTTAGAGAATGAGTTGAAAAAGTACATGAAGGCGTACGAGAGAATCGAGTTGTAGAATAGTGAGACGTAGAGAGAGCCCAAACCCATAGACAGTCCTATTCCCCAGCAGAACTTGTTCATGCGTCCGTAACTGTGCATGGGACCACCTCGAAACCTCTGACCAACCACCAGTTCCACCATCATCAGAGGGATTCCCTGGATTATGATGACGATAATCCAAGGGATGATGAAGGCTCCACCTCCATTTTCAAGGGCAACTTTGGGGAATCGCCATACGTTTCCTACACATGGAAATAGTTAAAAACCGCTGTTAACAAAGTCTGTCCCGGAAGTTTTTTTTCTGAAATTGAGAAGCTGCTAAAATGATGATCTGATAAACAAAAGTTATGACGCAGTAAGTTGATTCTTGTTCCTAGTATAGTATAGGCGAGTTTCGAGTTCTGAAAGTATACTTAAGTAAATTATAATGAAACTTACCCAAGCCGACAGCAAATCCAATGCAAGCCAAAAGGTACTGGAATAAATTGTCATATTGCTCTCGAGGCTCTCGAGCCTCGGCAGCCTCCGACATGTCGACTATGGTCTTTCCTCCTGTCGGTTCTTCATCCTTGCTCTTGAACACATTCTTAGTCTTGTCTAGAAGCTTCTGCGGATACGACGACGAAGATGAAGGACCTTCCTCACTTTTCGAACCGGAGCTCGACCCAGCTTGGTTATCATCCGCGTATCCTTTGTTAGTGTATCCAAAACTTGGAGGATCCGAGTGTGGCTCCTTTGGTTTTGACTCTTCGTGTGCCTTTTTTGGCTTTTTAGATGCCTTTGGAGCTTCAGTTGGTTTTTGAGCTGCCTTTGGAGCTTCTGAAATTGAGATGCCTTTGGAGCTTCGTTCTACATTCGGTTCATTGTAGTCTGGTGGCGGCGTTGATTCCGCGTGAGCGACAACTGCTGTGATCTTCTCGGGAGGACTTGGCTCCTGTTCGTATTCGGTCGCCTCAACTTGTGCAGTATCTTCTTCGTTGTTGCCAGGTTCTGCTGGCTCTACCGGTAGATCGGGATCCGGGCTGTTATCTATGTCTAGAGCTGGATTTGGTGTTTCATCCACAGGAGTTTCAACACTTACCTGCTCCTCAGAGTTGTTTTGTGCTGGCGCTTCTGACTGGGGCTCCAGTGCTATGTTGTTTTCGTCGTTATTATCCATGAGTTGGTAGAAACTTTATAGTTCTGGTGTTTCTGATGCTGTAATACTTTGTGGTGCAAGTTACTAAAAAAAGCTGAGTTAATTAAAGATCGCACGCTAAAACTTGTAAGTCGCTTGATTTGATTAAAATCAATGTGCTATTTCAAGTAGTTGGTTACCAATTTTTAAATAGTCTTTGAAGCTAGCACGTTTGTTTTGGACGCGGTTCTTCTAGTTTTCAAAGCCACTAATGCTTGGCGCTGCGGTATAATATACTAGATTTTGGCTCTCAAATACCATACTCATTCTTCGCATAATTACTCAGTTGATACAATTCACGTTTTGGCTTGCCTTAGAGCTATGCTCAACTTGATGAGTTTTTGCTCAGTTGTTAAGCGTATCAAATTTATTTTTTTCGAACTTTAACATCGACTGTTGATTGTCAGCTGTTTTTAAACTAGGACGAGCTGAATCAATGTGTGCTTTTGGAAGTGCAACTGTTATTAGCAAGATATTAAATAGTGTAAAAATGAGTTGTTCAGCTAAACATGATAAACACTGCAGAAACTAATCATCAATGAAAGTATTCACGTCTCGGCTCCGTGCTTAAGTTTCAGTGAGCGTGTAATCACATAAAAAGATGAAAAGCCGAAAAAAATATAAGAAAGCGGTCAACCATTGAAAGTTTTCAAACTCATTAATTGTTTTACGCATTTGTGGACAGGTAATATAAGTTGGAACATGAAACGAGTCATATGAAGTGATTTCACGTTTCGTTCAAAATCGAATTTTTTTTCCAAAATGTTGTCTAATTCTGACAACTCCTACCAAAACCAGGGATCGTCAATACGGCAATATGATTACCCTGGGAATTGAAAAAGTTTACTCGGGGTTTGTAAACATTTTTTTATCGGACAAAAAGCAACTCAAGTGTTGTGGCAAATGTTCATATCGTCTTGGAAGCCAATCCTAAGACAAGAAATTATAGTCTAGCTCAGCTAGTTTGAATTATCATCTCCGCCTAAATGGTATCGGATTACATTATATTAGTTAAGTCACCCTATTTTGCGTCGTTTGAAGGCGAAAAGTAAATTTATGTGTTTAGGTGGTGTGGGGTGTAAAACTTCGAGTTTTGAAACTTAAAAGCATTTTTTGGTGTTGGCTGAACGGTCGTTTCCCAAGTTTTCTTGTCTTAGTTCTCGCTTGGTAAGCGAAACTAAAAGATTACTTAATTAACGCCGGTGATTGTGCTTTGCAACTGTTTTCATGAAATTGAACATAGTCGAAACCAACGTCTGAATTTTGTGTATTTATTGGCATCTTTTTGACTTGCTGATGTTTTATGCCGCCATATTATTTTTATTCGACAGCTTGCAATGATATATACTCGCATTGTATCGCAAGTGTTGCAAGCTCCGCTCCACCTCTGTGTAAGTTGTTTAGCCAAAGTTGGATTTGGTAGTATTTTAGGGCGAACTTGGGAAAGACTACGTTCTCAAGTATAATTACGCCCCTAAATCCGCTGCTTGTTGTTCCGACCATTTGAAAAATGGGGAAGAACTTTGTATTCGGGTGTTTTTTTGTTTTGCACGCAAAATCAGCTACCAATAAAAATCATCAAAAAGAGTTGAGTGATATATAAAATTGAAGTTATTTCAGTCGTGATTCAAAATTTCCAAAAAGTTGTCACATTATCGATAAAAACAGGTTTAAAATTTTTAATATTTAGCCTAGTTTAGAGCAAAAATATGCGAGCGAGCAGGCTATTAATAGCTTATTTTTGGTTACTTTCGGGCATGAAAACTTAGTTTTACTCAAGTTAAGTTGTTTTTGGAGTTTTTAGCGCCATTTGTAAATTAAAAACTTCCAAATTTCAAAAAAAAATTCGGCAAAAATAAATAGAAAAATTTTTTGATTTTTTTTTGAAATATTTTGTTTTCTTTGTCTTTTTTTTCTACAATTTTTGCCTATTTTTTATGACTGTGGAGTATTCCTAAGTTCCAGTTATTCGTTCATATACTTTTATCAAACGAGGGAGAAAAAAACGACTCTAATTTTTTTTTACTGGTAGGAACATTCTATGCTCCCTGCACAGTAACCGGCTATCCCTATTGTGTTTTTAGTGATTTAAAATTTTTTAGCGTTTAAAACACTCATTACACAAGCAAAGCTTGTGTTATAGAATGAACTATCTTTTTTTTCCAACCTAAGCCGCAAATATTGTTGCGGCAAAATGTGTTCATTTTGATCAATAACCAGCTATAAAGTACAGCCAATGCTTAGGATATTAACACAGACTATTATATTACAAATAGCACTTAAGCTTCAAGGTATCATGGATCTGTAGCGTAGAGGTAGGGAAGGAGACAAGCAACAAAATAAGAGGGTTCGAACCTGGGCAGGATCGGATGTTTTTAAATGAACTTTTTCGTATACTAGCTAAAATGCGTCAGCTCTATAAATTGAGGCATTTTTTTTTTCAAATTGGCTGGTACAGCTAATGCTTCATAATTGGTTTGCGTTACCGAGCAATTATGTAGACTCATAATTGGCGTGCGTCACTTATGAATATTCGTAGACTCAAAGTTTTTCTCATTCAGTTTTTCCCAGTAGCGTTATTGGTCATATTTTGCTTGTGTATGCGAAGTGCAATTTCGCCTCTGTTTTAATTATAGAAATGATTTATTGTTTGCATTGTGTATCCCTGTTCAATTTGAATTTAGGCTGGACTGCTGTGTGGGTCTGAAGAACAAGCGGTGGTTTCTACTGCTACTGATTGCATTGGTGTCTGGAAACATGTTCAATACATTTATGGTGTTCAGCACCATCTGTCCCACTGAGAGTTGGTACTGCCAGGGAATATTCAAACAGCCAGACGAGTATGAATGAAATACAATAGATATTTGTGGGCTTTAAATTATGGGATCTAAAATCATCTGAATCATGGTGGTCGATAAACTTAAATACCTACACTGAAATAAATATCCTGGACAAACAACAAGAAGTGAAGACATTTCCATGATATCGTAGAGTAATGGTATCTAACGTGCGAAGGTGTTATATCTTTCAGCTAGTTCTGTTTCGGCAGCTATAGGCTATAAATGTTTCTAATTTTTTTCTCGTTTTGGACAATGAACGTTTTGGACAATAATTGAAAGGATTTGAAAGGAGTGTGTAAAGAGGCACATAAGAGGAATTTTGGCCTAAGTTAATATAGTAAAAAGTGTACTTTTGTTACCATGCGGGTGTTTACGGATTGATGCCTCTGTCTTCACCTTAGCAGGTCATCAGTTTGCTTTGAAATGTTTTTGTTTTGTTTCAGAATGCGCTACGTTTTCTGCACAACCCTGTACGGCTTGTTAGTCTCTATCTATCAATTCTACCCTTTATTGAGAATGTTCTACTCCATTTCGACCAACACATCATTGGTGCGGCTGCAGAAGTATTTCAAGTCTAAAATGATGGCAAGAATGAATGGAACAGAACCTTTGTCGTACAGATGGCTCAGCAGGTACAATCGAGGCTTCTATCGAAATTGGGCGAGAGTTATGTGTCCGCCTAATGTATGGGACATGCCAAGCAAGCCTCCACCGGTTGCCCAAACTGTTTAAATTGAAGGAACAAAAAACGAAAGATTTTCGAACAATTTATTCTGTATAATGATTTTAACTTCTATATTTTGAACATATCTGACTTAACTAATGTTTATAATAAAAAAAAGTTTGCAATAAAATTCTTAAATTTATTGTCTTACTTGTGGTTGATGATAAGTTTAGTTTGCTCAGAATCACGCTTTTAATAAAGCGTACATAAATCAAGCAGCTAACAACAACAAGCAGCTATGTAGAAAACCGTTACTTCACGTGTACAATAATCATGATTTTGTTGTCACCTTTTGACTCATGAGCGCGATTGACCTCATTGTTGAGTCAAAATAGATTCTTTTCTGTTAACGAACCAAAATGCCACATTGAGCTTTGTTGTTAATGAAAACCCTGATTTTTTTGATGTTAACTGTTGTTAGTAATTTCAACCAATCAGATTTGAGAATAATGATGCAATTTTCAAAATAACTGAAAGATCAGTTTTGGACCGTATAATAGAAAATACCCTCAAAACGTTCCTTCACTCTCATTTCTTAGTTACGGATTAAGATATTGAAAGTTTTCTGCAGTTCTCCACGAATGAGACACTCAATAAGTGAGACATACGGCCTAGGTTTGGTTTATCACCCAAAGTCAAGTACCGTAATTTAACTTCAGATCGGTTCGTGAGTGTGCTAAGTTAGAGACCTACCTTAGGACTAAATTTACTCTATTATTTAAGCTTTCGCTACCGCCTATCTTCGGATTTTAGCTTCCTCGTTCGGTTCGAAAGTCGATTTTAAATGTGCGAAGAGCAACTTCGCCTCTGTTTGAAATTCGGCTCCGCTATACAAGTTATACACAAATTATCAGTTTGTGTTATGTAAGCATCTATCAGAAGAAAAGTTATCAGAGCAGCATTTGTGTATTGACCCGCTTAATGTGAAGTCGTCAAACCTCATACTCATGCAAGTGGCATACTTTAACTTTTTGGCAAAATTTTAAAATAAGTCTCACGTTATCGGCAAATCCAACAATTTAAAACTGATTTATCCTTTAGCATTAGTTAAACTATCAAATTGTTTTTAAATAAAGTTTAAAAAAATATTGAAAAAAAGCCGACCGGAAGAGGGCTAAACTTGCCGATATTCACATTCATTAAGTCACCTTATCGATATATCAACTTTTTTTGACTTATAAATTGAACTAACTGCTAAAGTTAATTTTTGGTACTGCCTGAAAATTAGAAAAATTATGAATTTTCTATAAACCTTTTTAAATTTTATTTTTTACATTCAGAGATTTCAGGTCATTTCAAAATATTTGTTTGAATATAAATCTTTTTAGAGTGTTTTTGTGTGAAATGTTAAGGTTGATGAACAAATTTTTGCTGCTTATTTTGGTCAGCTATATGTTATTTCGTTATCTGAATCTTGAAATTTCGTGTTTTGATTTTTTTGTGGTTCAAAGTTTATTATGATAAAGATTTTGTTTCGGCTCATCAGGTGTCTACCCAATTGTATTTGCGTTTTTTTGTTCGAGATAAACGTTGAAATTTTTGGTAGACCAAGTTTTCGATACTTTTTCTTACAATTTTGTTTCGACTTGAATTTTTTGTTTTGTTTTTCCTAGCTCTATAGCCGATTTTTGCTTGTTTGCCAATTATAACTTCGTCTCTGTTTAAAAAGTAGCATGCCTCAACACGATTTTGGACAATTTCTATGATGGATTAAAAGTGCTGAAGCGTTGATAGCATAAAATCTATTGCGCGCTAAGTATCCAAAACATTACAAAAAATCACATGAATAGATTTTGGATAATTATCCTGGTTTTTACTTACCTTGACCTCGTATTTCCTTTGTTTTTTTTTGTTTCGCTATAATTTGTCCGCCCAAATTATTTCGGCCAATTTTTCATCGGCTTAATGACCTAGTTTCAGGTCATTTTAAAGGAAACACAATTTTAACACTACCCTCCGAACTTCTCAAGTTGGTTGTATATTTACCATACAACCCCTCTGCACTATTCAATTTGATTGTATGTTTGCCAAACTGTTTTGAAATTTCATGTTTTTTTTCGTTTTCGGAAATTTTTGTTTCACATTTTGCAAAAACTTGTTATGTGCTTCTCAAACTTCCTCTAATTTTAAAAAAAAGAGTATCAATTGAAAGACCCACTCCCCTGTGTGCCTGCATACTCCTCATAAGTCTTTTTCTACTTGACCATTCTGTCTACGGCCTTCGAAAAAGTCTGGTGGAATATTTTGATTTTTTTTCCGTTTTCTTGAAAACTAACCCGGTCAAGTATGAATTTTTGGTTTTGATGAGAACTATTTTGAAAAGCTCTCCTGCATCAGTGGCTACGCCTATTTTTTAAACAAAATAATAGCTCTCGGAATAGTTAAATTTGATTTTCGATCGTTATGTGAATATTTTCGATTTTTCTCGAAAACTAACCTCTCAAATCTGATATTGTGGGTTCAATAGAGATATAGGGGAGCGGAAAACTCCTCTGCCTTAGCAGACACTCAGTTTTTACGCTAAAAGTTATCGCCCGACGAGTTTTTTTATTTTTAAACAGTTTTTAAAAACTTTTTGAGTGTTCTCGACAACTACCATGCCATATTTGAGATTTTGGGTTCAATTCTCAGAACGGGTTGTTGGAAGCTCGGTTGTTTGTGCGACTACGCCCAAATGTTTTTGACACCAAATTTTTTGGCTTTTGGAAAAAAAATTTTTAAGTTTTTTGACCGTTTTTCTAAATAGTTTTTGAATGTCTCGAAATTTTGGAAAGTCTTTGACCGTTTTTTACAACTTTTAACCGTTTTTTAGAAAATTTTTGTATTTTTTTTAACTACACAATCAAATCTGAGAAGAAAAGTTCAAATGAAGCGATTGCCGTTATTGATTCCGCAGAAGCGGCGAATCCTGTATTTTTGATAAGATAGATGTTATCTCTTTGTGAAAATTGATTGTCTAAAAATTTTATACACTATCACTTATTTATAGAGGAGAAACAACTAAGGTTTTACGCAATGTCTAATTTTTGAAATCACACTTTTCGTGCCGCATCAGCATAGCAAATTTATTCGATATCAAACACAAATACTTACCTCCAGCTTTAGCTGGGCCCCTAATTGTTTTTATTGAGACATAACGAACATTTTGGTTCAGGTAGTTTTTCTCAACAACTAAATTTTTGTTTTGATTTAAGCTTCTTCTATGTTTGTGTTGTATCTTTTCGCCTCCGTATAAAAATAACGTCAAAAGGGGTGATAAAACAGTCAACTTTTTTTTCGAAAAACATCTCTAGCTCAAATAGTAGGTCAGCTCCTTCGAAAGTTGGTTTCAAATTATATTTGAGCCATTTCACACATACGATCTAAACAAAACTTTTAAGAGCGTTAAGAAACGATTTAGTGACTTAGTAAGTGTCACTAAAAATGCCGAAGCAATGGACGTGGACGCTTAGCACGGAGACCGGCCTATCTTCGTGTTTGTCGATTAGCATGCCCATGTAAAAGAACATAGACTGAAGTCTCTTTATTTCAAGTTCAAAACACTCAAAATTACAATTTTTATCAATATGGATTTAGCCAAGTTTTAAACACCCAATGAAAGAAATTATTACATGCTAATAGGCAGACATGCTAACTGCAACCCGTTTAGCTCCAATCGCATAAAACAAACAAAGTGAATTGCAGCCTGCTCGCAAACTAGATTTTTTATCTTAACATGAGAGAGCAGGTGTCCTGTAATCGGTAACGTAATCGGTTTTTTCCCGTCAACAAATTTTCTCAGCAAAGAAGTTGACCTCACTTTATTATTGAACCCTAAAAAATTCCAAATGCTTCTCTGCTAAGCCTGGAGGTAACTTGTTTGCATGCAGCTTAGAAATTGGGGTCCGAAATCCAACAGGACCTTACTTTTCTCAGTATGTATGAACATGAAAAAAAAAACCGGTAAAAAATTGATTTATTGGTCTTTTGTTTGTCTACTTATATTTTGTCGGTTTAAGTGTCGTATCACAAATTTTTCTCGAATCACGGATTTTTAAAATTAGGAAGACTAAACATCGTTAAAAATTTTTAAAAAAATCAATTGTTTTTTTTGGCTCAAGTGGTACCTGGCCAAAGATTGTCAGTTTTGTTTCCGCTTCGTAATTTTATTCGAGTGCTACTTAAAAAACTCAAATGTCTTGCTAAGCATGTGAAACTATTATTCCTTTTTGAAGAAAACAGATATCATGAAAATGTATGGGATTTCGAAAATTCTTTAAAAACTGCAAAAGTTTTTGTTTTCTCAAACACTACTCCAATGATTTCATGAAAAGATTCCAATGGAAACATTTTTAATCCCCTGCGTGCCTGCATAACCCTCTAGTCTGTTTTTAATTTCGTTAAAGTTTGTGGGAGAAAAATCACCCACAAAATGACATATAATTTTTTGGTAAAAATATACCAAAAAATGAGATTTTGGGTTCAAGGGATAGAACGGGTTGTGGGAACTTTCTCTGAATAAACGGCTACGCCCCATTATTTTAAGCAAAAAGTTTTTGCCATCGGAGTTACGGAGTATTCGATTTTTGACCTTTTTTGATTCTTTTTAACTTGAAAACTACCCGCTCAAATGTGAAATTTTTGGTAAAATTCCAAAAACAGTTTTTGAGAAGCTCTCTTGCACATGCGACTACTCGTAATGTTTTTCATACAAAGATATGGCCCTCGCAAAAGTCAACTTTGTAAATTATTTGAACGTTTTTTGAAAAATTTTGAAATTTTCCCGAAATCTACCATCCCAAACCTGAAATTTTGGGTTTAGTCGAAACAACTTGTTTTTTAATTTTTTTTTTCTGCAAAACCGGCTACGCTCAAAGTTTTTGCACCAAAGATGATTATCAGAAAAGTCAATTTTTTGATTTTTTGACTGTTTCGATTTTTTTGGTTTTTCATAAAAACTAATATCCCAAATTTGAAATTACTGGTTTAATCGAACTATCTTGCTGTATGAAGCTTTTCTGCAAAAGTAGCTACGCCCAAATGTTCTCAATAATTTGTTCTGGTTCTGAGAAAACACAAACTTTTGATTTAGTGATCGTTTCATGGATTTTTTTTTTGACTTTTCTCGGAAACTACCGTGCCATTTTGTAGGTTAGGTGTTCA